GTTAGTCATTTTTTAGTGATTTTTTTTAATTAAAATATCAATATATTTGGAAATATTTTTTTGATTTTTAAGTGAAAAACGTATAAAACATAGAGTCAATAAAAAAAATATATTTAATTTTGTAGAGTCGATGAAAAGAAAGCTTTGATATTAGGTAAATTATATCGGTAATCTTTATATTTTATTCTTTGTCATTTTAGTTTTTATACTTTTAATTGGTTCAATTTTGATCTTTTATTTTAAATTTTGTCTTAATTTGGTCCAATTGATAATATCATTAGTGTTTTTTAAGAAAAATTATCACTAAATTATTTGAGATTAACTAACTGAGTTGAGTAAGTTTATAATTTTTCTCTTAAAAATATAATATATGACACTTATGTGCATATTTTTGATAAAAAAAATTAAAAATTGTAATCTATTGGACCAAAAAATTAAAAATTAAAAATCAAAATCGAGTCAATTGAAATTATAAAGATTAAAATGATACAAGAATCAAAATATAAGATTACCGTCATAATTTGTCCTTTAATATTTTTTTATAGTTCAGATTTTATTTTATTTTATTTTTACTATTCATTGACCTTTTATTTCCTATTGATCTTTTATGTGATTTTAGTGTTAATTACACTCTACTAGTAAGCCTATATTTAGCAGGCGAGTTAGAGGTTATTTTAATCATAAAAAAGATAAAATAAATTAAAAATTAATAAGATAAAATGTCTTATTCAAATCATGATTATTTTATTTTTGTTTCATAAAAATAAAAAAAACTCATTTTTAACGAGACTTTTTAATCAGGCTAATAGCTAAAAAATCAAAAAACTAACCCACTTTTCAAATGAAAGTTAAATAATATCACTTTATTCCTTCATTTTATAAATTTGTATATAAATTGATCCCATCAATTATGAAAATCATACAAATACACTCTTTTTGGAATTGATCTGGGGTAAACGTAATATATTTTTAAAGTTGAGAAAGTCAAAATGCACGAGTTTATAAATGAGAAGGCAAAGTGATATTCACTGATAATTAAGGGGTCTTTGTTGGAAAAATAGTTTAATATAGGCATATTTTTTAGCTCAATTTGAGTGTGCCCCAAACGTCTTTTGGGGTGGGTCCGAAAAGGTGTGGGTCCGAAGAGGTGAAGTGTTCCTTGCCGCGTGGCAAGTCACACGGTGAACACGATGAAGACGGAACGTCACCAGCAGGAAGGTGCACATGGTTAAGTGGAGGGAGGTTACGAAAGGTAAGAATCAAGGTGGCTTGGGCATAAGGGACTTAGGTGTGGTCAACGAGTGCTTGTTGCTAAAGTGGTGGTGGAGGTATGGTAGTGAGGATACAGCTCTGTGGAAAGAAGTAATCTGCTCTAGGTATGGTAAAAGGGGCGGGGGATGGTCTCCTGTATTGAATCATCCAGCAGGGGTCTCACTGGTTTGGAAAGATATTTCCCAACTTTCGTCGGTTAACCAGCAATTGGGAGAATTTTTTGGGGAACAGGTTCAAATAGTTGTTGGCAATGGGAGGAGGATAAAATTTTGGTATGACCCGTGGTTAGGTGGCAGAGGGCTGAAGGCTGAATTTTCTAGGCTGTTTAGTTTATCTATAGAGAAGGAGGAAACCCTACAGCAGATGTGTGCAAAGTTTGGTGCCTCAGGTAGGTGGCAGTTTCAATTCAGAAGGCCTCTACTAGCTTGGGAGGAAGAGGAGCTGCAGAGGCTGGTAGGTATGCTGTTATTCACCCCTAGGCTCAGAGATGGGGTTGAGGACTCATGTTCATGGTTAGCAGAGAAGTCGGGTCAGTTCACTGTTGCCTCTGTATGGAGATGGAGGGCTGCAGCGAGTGGGAATAATCTAGTAGTCCCAGCAGGGGTTTGGGAGAGTTTGGCCCCTCCAAAGATGCAATTTTTCTGTTGGTTGGCTTGGCGTGGCAGAGTTAAAACTTCATCCTTAAAATTAATTTGAAAAAAGATAATATATTTTTATAATTAAAGTGATGAAAATATAAAAATTTATAAAATAAAAAAAATAAAGTGTTACTCGTTAATTCTCGAGGGACATGATCTAACTAACTTTGATTTTATCTGTTGACATTGTTGTGGATTTTTTTATTTGAAAAAGTATTTAGACTGCTATTTTGGCAGCTTGTATTTATTCTCAACAGTCCTCGCGTATTATCAAAAGGAATAATTTTTTGACTTACTGCATCGATCGCTTTTTCTGTGAAAATTTTCTGGCTTTGTAACTACCAAAAAAACAAAAAAAAACATATGCTTTGGTGCGACAACGTGAAAAATGTGTCTTCACACTGAAAAGTAATCACTTCAACATTTATTTTTTAAAACATATGAATGTTTTTTTTTATTTTTTTTTGTTAGATTTTAAAAAAATTATTTAATAAGTATTAAATGATAAATAATATAGAGTAGCATTTTGGAAAGTTAATAAAAAACTAACTTTTTAATTTTTTTTGAGTGACTTTTTAACTTTTTGTACTAAAAAATTAGATTTTTATTTTTTTTTATGACAAATAGATAAAAAGTCAAAAAAATTGACTTTTTACTATATACCCAAAACACCCCAGAAATATTCGTTAATAGCTCACAATTTGTTGTAATTATTGTCTTTAGTACTAATTGTGCCTTGAGTTACATTTCAATGGAGTCTTTTGTACATTATGGCCATGTTTGTTTGGGTGGACATGAGCTTGGAATTGGATTAATAGTCTAATAAAATTATTAATCCGATTTTTGGTTAAACAATTGAAGTACGGATTAATTATTTTAAACTTGACTATTAGTTAAGATAGGATACATAATCTAACGGATTCGTAGTCCTAAGACTATTAATCATAGGAATGCTAATCCAGTCTGCCCAAACAAACATGGCCTATTATTATTATTTTTTTTTTGGGAGTGGGGACTATCATCATCATTTAAATTAGTTTATATTCAACCAAGATTGAGGTGAATACAAATTCAGCCTGATTTTACTTAGATAATGCAACTAAGATAAGATTAAAGTAAACACAATTTCTCTTGATTGTATTTATACTATATGTATCCAACCAAATAGTCAGAATTAAACCAAGTTGGAATTCTAAGGCACACATTAGTCACTCTCAGACTCAATCTTGTACAGATTGAAATGGGTAATTAACTTATGATCAGACTTTTGACTGAAAAAATTAGGGCAAATTACATATACACCCCTCGAGGTTTGGCTAAATTACAGATGCCCCCTGAGGTTTGAGAAATTACAAATTCCCCCCTGAATGCTATATTTGCATAAGAAATTAGGGGGTAATTTGTTATGAAATATAAACCTCAGGGGGCAAATTGTTATGAAAATACAAACCTCAGGGGGCGGGATGTAATTTCCGAAACCTCAGGGGTATCTGTAATTTAGCCAAACCTCGAGGGGTGTATATGTAATTTGCCCAAAAAAGTATTAAAATGATGTAAGCCTTGACTTGATATTGTTATTTCCAAGCCCCTATCTTCCTATTTTAACAAGTGGGCCCAGCTCAGTATTAATAAATTTAGAGAAACTTAGATAAAGTTTCATGTTGGGCTCATAACAGTTTTCTCGCCGCACCCATACTACGTGAATTTAACAAATCGGACATAGAATATTTAGATGTACAAAAAAAAAATATGTGCATTTTGTTTTATATTTGTGCATTCTACATTTTGTATGCAATTAAATAAACACACAAATTTATTACAAAATTGGACACATAATATATATTAGATGGATTAAATTTTTCAAAAGTATCTCACTAATAAATTTTGTAAAACCTTATTCATATATTTATTATGTGTCCAAAATGTAATCAATTTTAGTGTTACTAGCAAAACTATATGCAACTTTGTGACCATTTGTGTAGAAATTATTTGATGTTCTAAGATGCTTTAAAGTGGCATGTACTCACTTTTATTACTACTAGAACCTAACCTTTGAAACCAAATTTCAATATGAAGAGTAATTTACAAATAATATTATTCATTTAAAATGATGTGATTGTGGTGTTTTTAAAATTATGAATTAAGCTAATAGAAATTTAAATTTGAAATGAAAGATCCATAAAAAGTCACACCGTTTCATATAAAGAATTTGTCAAAAATTATATTTGTGTCATTACTCCTTCAAACTAGTAGTGACAAATTGATCACACGTATACATGCCATTTAACGGGTATATGATCACACTAAGACTATGGTCCCGTTTATTTTCAGAGATAGAATGGAAGGAATTCATATTGAGGGGATTAACTAAAATTATGTTTGTTTTGATGATAGTTGTTAGTGTAGGAATTGTTAAATTATTTTTATATAAACTAATAAAATAAATAAAAAAATATAAAAAATTAAACATTAATATTTTAAAAAAAATCTCAATATATAAAAAATAAAAAAAATAAAAATATTTCTAATCCCTTCACTATTTTTCTAATATCATCTCCACATCCTCCATCTCAATCCCCCTTCCAACCTCCATCTATATCACCTCCACCATCCTAATCCCCTCCCAAACCCTATAAACAAACACAACACTCAATAACCCCACCTCTATTCTAATCTTCTCCTATCTATTTAACCCTAAAACAAACGGGCCCTATGTTTGGTATGATTTTCAGAAACCTAGTATAAATTTTTTTTTATAAAAATTAAAAATTAATTTTGATGAAAGAAATAAAAAAAAATCAAAAGTAATTATTATTTTTATATAATTTTATCTTTGAGAGGCCAAAACTAATTTTTAAAAATTTAAAAATATCTTTTTGATATTTATTTTTATTAAATTAGTTTTATTTTTATAAAAAAAAAAATTCTGAATTTCTTTCCAAAAAACAAATCAAACATGGCCTAAAATTCTTGAATCACTTGGTAATTTTTATTTGTTTATTTAATTTTAATTTTTATTTGTGTAACGAAATTTCTTCCAACCCAAACGAGGACTAACAAACCCATAGAATCAAGGAAAAATTTACATTACTTTTGACAGACTACAAAAGGAAGAACCAAGGAAAGCAAATTCTGCTTTCCCTCTCTCTTCCCCATCAGGCAATTCCAAATTTGTTTATACATTCTCAATATTTAACACATTCACATGTTGAGAGACAGAGAGAGAACAAATTAGAGAGGGAGAGAGAACTCTGAAGTGAACAATGACAAACACTTCAAATCTCCATGGTTTCTCCATTTTGTGGTTCTGCACAATACTCACTCTCTTCCCAGTTCTCACCACATCTTTCGACACCATCACAGCAACACAACCACTCTCCCCAGGCCAAACCATCGTCTCCTCCGGCAACGTATTCGAATTGGGTTTTTTCTCACCAAACAATTCAACCAATTACTGGTATGTTGGTATTTGGTACAAGAACGTACCAACAACCTTCGTCTGGGTCGCCAACAGAGACAACCCACTCAAAAATTCATCATATGCCTTCTTAAAAATCGGCCAAGATGGAAACATAATACTTGTCGACCAGTCTTCAAATCCTCCGATATGGTCTTCCAATCAAACCACTTCCAACACCACAGTTGCGCAGCTTTTAGATTCTGGGAATTTTGTGGTTCGGCGAGAAAACGATGTAAATCCTGATAATTATCTATGGCAAAGCTTTGATTATCCCACGGACACGTTGTTGCCAGGTATGAAGCTTGGTTGGGATGCGAAAACCGGGCTGAACAGGTACTTGACCCCATGGAAGACCAGCGATGATCCGTCTTCTGGAGACTATGAATTCAAGCTCGACATTAATGGATTCCCGGAAGCTTTTTTAACGAACAAACAGGTCCGGGAGTATCGAAGCGGGCCGTGGAATGGGCTTCGATTCAGCGGCGTACCGGAGATGAACATGACGAGTAATATTATACTCTTCACATTTGTGATGAAGCCAGATGAGATTTCTTATTCATTTGAATTGGAAAACAAGTCTGTGTATTCGAGATTGTTGGTGAACCCATCTGGCGTATTACAAAGATACACATGGATCGAAACGAGCCAATTATGGAATCTATACTGGTACGCACCGAAAGATCAATGCGATAGTTATATGGAATGTGGTGTTTATGGTGTGTGTAATACTAATGATTCGCCTGTATGTAACTGTATGATTGGATTTGAGCCGAAGAATTTACAGGCGTGGAATTTGAGAGATGGGTCTGATGGATGTGTGAGAATTGGGGAATTGAATTGTGAGACTGATGGGTTTTTGACTTTGAAGGATATGAAATTGCCAGAGACTTCGAGTGCTTTTATGAATCAGAGTATGAGTCTTTCGGATTGTGAAATGGTTTGTAAGAGAAACTGTTCTTGTACTGCTTATGCGACTATGGATATAGTTGGAGGTGGGTCTGGGTGTGTGATTTGGACTGGTGATCTTCTGGATATGAGACAATATGCTACTGCTGAAGGAGGGCAAGATCTGTATATGAGAGTTTCGGCTTCTGATTTAGGTATGTTCAATTTGAATTCATTTGATTTGATTTGATTTTCACCATTTCTGTGTTTTCATGTTTGAGCTTTGCTTGAGATAACTGTTCATTGCTTAAAAAGATAAAGATGATAAATGGAGGAATGTCTTGACTCAGTGAGACCAGTTGAGTCAACTCATCCCAAAGAGATTGCATTTGGTAGATGCAAAAAATAAAAAAATAAGAAAAATAAAAAACTATTTTTACATAATTTGTAAAAATATTATAAATAAAACCCAGATGAGATTAATAGTGTAAACACCTCATCGAAGTGTTTTTTTTTTTTTTTAATAACTAAACTAGGTTTGAAAAGAGACTTTTGTTCTTTTCTTTTTGTTTTTTGGTTTTTTTTCCACTATATAAAAGGCACATTGCTACTTTGCCGAATAGGATTTTTAATGACAAATTTATGAAAGTTAAAACATTTCAAATTTGCACCTATAAATACTTTAATCAAGCAGTTTAAGAATATAACAAACTATTTCAAACTCAAATTTGTACTCAAAAAGTCTTTATAAGTCGTTACAACACTCTCTTTATTTTTACATGTATTTTTTGTAAAAAATCAATTAAAATAACTAATTTTCAAAAGAGATTTGAATATATCACTCCATAATGCAACTTCTTCTTCTCATGTTTGCCTTTTACCAATTACTTTTTTAAAAATATATAACTATAGAATGATAAAACAAGTCTTAATACTATCATTTTTAATAAATAATCAAATAATTTAAATTTTTAAAAAGAGTAATGATTCATCCCCCTTTTTCCCCCACCCCCTTTGACCCCCTCTCTCTCTCATTGGTTACCTTTTATTTTTCTTTTTCTTTTTTTTCCTACTCCTCCAATCACCCCCTGCCACATGGCAAAGGGGAGTGAGGGGGTGACCCCAAAAGGGGGTCCCAAGCATTATTCTTTTAAAAATATGGTTATCATATCATTTTGATCATACATAGAGTTAGATTATAAGTCCTTGTCCTATTATATAGATTACACACTCAATAATTCATTTTCGTTTTTATGATAGATTATGATTGATAAGCCTTGGCATTTGTTGCATATTTATTTCATGCATTTATTATGAAACTTCATTGTCATCTAAACTTCAAATCAAAATTAATAAAAGGTTAATTTTGTTGCGTCATAGCATATAATATGTAGGGGTTGATGAGGTTGAAAATGTAAGAAAACAACAAAGATTAGGCAATGATTTAATATACTTTCAGAAAACAACCCGTGGTGTTTAAGAAATAAAGAAAATAATGTTCATACAATGCTTATTCAAAAATTTTGACAAAAATAACATGAGAGTGACATATTTTAAGATTTAAGTTACTTTAATAAAGTTTATTTTTAAATGATTAAGTGAAGACTTGTCACATTCACATTCACATTTCTTGAAATTTAAAAAAAAAATGCAATTAATTTTATACTTTTTGACATAATTACATTAGTCTATTTTAAAATTTTAAATAATATAATACTTAGATTATTTTTATCAGTTATTCTTTAGTGGTATAATTTGAAAGATGAATTTTCATGTCTCATATACTAAAATATATTTATTGTTATTATTATATTATTTATTTAAGCATCTACAAATAGTTTGTATTAATTTTGATCATTTTAATATTATTGAAAGGAAAATCATTGTAATAATACTAAACTTATGAGACTAAATTTTTTCCCCCCCAAATTTCAAGAGAAGTGAGTGTAATTTACTCTTATTATTATAATATATTGGGGTAATTTATAAGAGGAATTACACATCAGTGGGCATCAGAAAAAATATTTACAGAAAAGTAATAACATTATAAAAATTAATAATTAAAATTATGAACTTTTTCACTTTTGTATGAATATTTTTTTTTTGGGATCCCTACTGATGTGTAATTCCCCCTAAATTATACCTACCTTCTCTAAATTTGAAGAAAATACGATTAACCTATTAATTTTGACATAATTACAACAACTTGTGAGAAGTTGATAAAAGGTTTATTTTTTTACTTTTTTAGCTTATTCTGTCTTTTTGTGAGTAAGTTATGTGAGAGATGATGTGACTCAAAATGGATAAAAAACTGGAAGTTGGCTTTTTACTAGCTTCCAAAAGACTCCATAATGTTTGGGTCTTTTTTCATCCGACATTCGTGAGTCATATAGATTAAAGAAAATATATATTATTTTACTAGCTTCCAAAAGACTCCATAATGCTTGGGTCTATTTATTTGTGTGTACTTCCCATTTGCATTAATTTGATAGTTGAAATCTTACTAAAAGAAAAGTCATTATAATTATATTAAATTTGTAAGATTAATTGTATTTTTATGAAAACTCATGAAAAGTGGGTGTAATTAACCTTATTATGTGTTATGTTATGAGTTCCAAAAATTGAGGACCGTTGGAGTCACACGGTTGTATGTGAACGTGACATTCAAAATTATTATTTTGTTTTTGGAAAGTAATCATATTATTCTGTCTTTTGATTGGGTTGCGTGACATGTTTGGTATCAAATTGTTTTCAAAAGTAGTTTTTTTTTAGATTGGTGTTTTCAAAAGTAGTTGAACCACCCCAGAAGGGTTGATCACAGGGTGGTTCATTAAAAAAATATACCTTTCTGGGTTGGCTCTTTGTCCTCCTAACCCGGCCGACCTTTTTGACTTCGGCGTAACTTGTTTGGGCCACACCCCATTTCAGTCCCTACAAAGTTATATATTTTGAGCCTGATAATTATTTTGTGGGCCCAATCAACCGATTTTGCTGCTAAGAATCTCAAACCCTTTTGGAGTCTATATGGCTCATAGAATTTAATAGAGTAGTTTGAATTCTTTGTAGTGTTTATAATGAGCAATATTAGGCATATAAAATTTGTACCATACATTGCCATGGATGTAGTAGAAAATTTGATCTCTCTAATATTTTTGGCTTATGATTCCACCATCATAGAGGTTGTATGTAACTAGTGGGTCGTTATTGGGTTTAGGCCTGGTGATTGTCAACTATTGTTGGACTAGTAGTCTGTTTAATATAATAATTCTCATATTTGTAGTACTCTCCTACTGAAGAAAAAAAAATAAAAAATAAAATAAAATCTTCCAAAGATGAAATTAGCATTTTCATTAGGGAGTTAAAATTGTTAATTCAATTATATGGATTGGAAGTAAAAAGACTATTTGATCCTTTACTTTATAGAAATAATAAAGACACATTTAATATAATGAGAGTTTTTACATAACTTCATAAGTTTTTATATCATCACATTAGTGTACACATAAATACAATTTATCTTATTTTCTTATATTCTTAACCTATACCACCAAATTAGTAATTATATATTTATGTCACTCATTAGTAATTATAACTACATTCAATTTAATCCGACAATCAAAAAACGATTTGATTCTCTCTAGGCACGGCATTCTTAATTGTTGAATAATCTCTATTCTTCTTCATCACATGATGAAAATTTTTTTGTTTTTGCATTGGACACCATATGGGAAAAACCAATTACATAAAACATAAACCAATTGTATAGGGATGGACATTGATCTGATCGGGTCGGCTAAGTTTGGATCGAACTTATACTATAGAGTAAAGAACACATGACTTGTTCCAAGTCTGATCTAGCCTAACATGGTATAAAATAATATATATAGTTTATCTTTTTATTTTTTTAATTTATTATGTAACTAAAATATATAAAGTTTTAAAATAATATTTTATAGATGGATTGATTGGGCCAAACCGGGCTAGAATTCCTATCGTATGGCCAATCCAAAATATAACCGAGTTAAAAAATCTTAGCCCAACCCAATCCTATGAGTGAAAATACCTATTCCAAGTATTAAAAATGTCGGACTAGACTGGGCTGGTAGGTTGGGCAGGCCATCGGGGCAGTTCTTAGGTTAATGCCTGGTTAGGCATGGAGCATGCACCTCCTTCGGCCGGGTTTTTTAAGACCAGCTTTTTGGCAATTTCAGCACAAAAAACAAAAAATTGAAGCTCCATTTGACAGCAAAAGATGTCTAATTATTAGTTCATTCATTCATTTCAGGATTGCAAAACAGTTCTAACAAATCTAAACAAACTATCAAGATTGTTGGCATTACAGTCAGTGTTGGTGTTCTGCTACTTGGTTTAAGTCTATTTTTTGTATGGTGGAGAAGAAGGAAAACACAAAGACAACTGAAAGAAAAGACACAGCATAGAGGTACTTATGAACTTGCAAATCTTTTTTAATTTATTTTAAAAATTGAGCATGATTTTGCAGTATTCTATTTCTCTTACATTGTACCTATTATTTTAAAAAACCAGGTGCTCATGAAAAAAGTCAAGATATTTTGCTAAATGAAGGGATTATTATGAGAAACAGAGATTATTCATGCGAAAGTACAACAGATGAATTAGAATTACCATTATTCGACTTCGGTACCATGGCAATGGCTACAAACAATTTCTGTGAGGAAAATAAACTGGGACAAGGTGGTTTTGGCATTGTTTACAAAGTAAGTTTTTTTTTTATTTATTTTTTATTTTTTACTTTTTTAACACGTTCACATTATTATTATATAAAATCACAAGGGTACCGCAAAAAGATGCTTATGAAAAATGTTTTGGATGGAAATATTAGGGTATGTTGATGGAAGGTCAAGACATTGCAGTGAAGAGGCTGTCAAGGAATTCAGGGCAAGGAGTAGAAGAATTTAAGAACGAGGTTAGGCTGATTGCAAGGCTTCAACACAGAAACCTTGTTCGTCTCCTCGGTTGCTGCATTGAGATGGAAGAAAAAATGCTGATATATGAATACATGGAAAATAGAAGCTTGGACTCCATTTTATTCAGTTAGTTCCTCTCGCTATTTCATATACATACATGGTTAATTGAATTGCGTTATGCTAAGTGATAGTTTGTACAATACTGCCACGTGCACAGAAAAATTAATGTGCAGTCAAAATGGATCTATAGCACACATTGATTTGTTTTGTTTTATTAGCCATTATTGTAGTTTATATTCATGGCATCTGAATTAAAAAAATCTTTTTTTGTAGATAAAGAGAGATGCTCAATATTGAATTGGCAAAGGCGCTTCAACATCATTTGTGGAATTGCTCGGGGGCTTCTTTATCTTCACCAAGATTCGAGATTTAGAATTATCCATAGGGATCTCAAAGCAAGTAACATATTACTCGATAGAGAAATGAATCCAAAGATATCAGACTTTGGCATGGCAAGAATTTTTGGAGGAGATCAGACTGAGGCAAACACAAGGAGAATAGTTGGAACATAGTAAGTGACCACAATTAAGAACATCTTTCTACTTCTTGTGCATTCTATCCATTAGGAATGTATGATCATATTGCTAATACCATTTGGGGATGTCGTGTAGTGGTTATATGTCTCCTGAATATGCAATGGATGGCCTTTTCTCGATAAAATCAGATGTCTTTAGTTTTGGCGTGTTAGTGTTGGAGATAATAAGTGGTAAGAAGAACAGAGGATTTTATAATGCCAACCAAGAGCTTAACCTTCTTGGACATGTAAGTGTGGAAAACTCTCAAAATGTTTCCCAAGCAATTGTTTTATGTATCTAGTAGTAACAACTTCAATTTTTTATAGTAATACTAACTGAGAAATTGTACTGAAATGTAGGCATGGAAGTTGTGGAGAGAGAGAAAGGTGTTGGAAATAATGGACACTTCTGTTGGAGAATCGAATGCGACATGTGAGGTAATGCGATGCATTCATGTTGGCCTCTTGTGCGTCCAAGAGCGAGCAGAAGATAGGCCGTCCATGGCATCTGTCGTTCTCATGTTGAGCAGTGAAACTGCATCAATGTCGCAACCTAAGCATCCTGGGTTTTGTCTAGGAAGGCAACGTGTTGAAACCGATTCATTGTCAAGCAAGCAAGATGAATCATGCACCTTGAACAATGTCACCGTTACAATACTAGATGGCCGGTAATCGGAGGTCTGACCTTCTCCAGCATAATTGCATATCTCAAGATTTTTTATTTTTTTAATTTATAAGTCCTTTGTTTTTTTGCCATTTTTGTGAAAGGTTTAAGAGGGAATAGTTGTTCTTTTGTGTAAGGGAGATGTATAATATGTTGATTTATATGATTCAGTTAATACAAGTTCAATATTTTTAGGTTAGGTTACAAAAATAAGATTAACTATTTGTCTTTTAGAGATAATTTGTAACTATGTGAAGCAAGAAAAATGAATTATGAACAATTTTTTTATTTTTTATTTTTCATACAAATGACATGACAATGACATTTTTCAAATTATACAATGGGTATTTAGACTTTACATAAAAAAAACACTCACAAAAAAATTAGGACATTAGATATAAAATTTGTACAAATAATATGTATGCATATCAGAATTCAGGACAATATTTGATGTGGCATACCAATGAAAATTAAAGCAATCATTTATTAGATTTTAATGTGTTTGTGAAAGAAATGATCACAGGCCTGAAACACCTGTGGTCATATATCTAACCATATTCGTGATCTGCCAAGAATTATTTCTATTTTTCAAGCCATGTAATCATATAATCCCTTATTATCTGACGTAGACATAATCATATTTTAAGAAGATAAAGATAATTACTCATTTGTGGGCATTAGAATTTCACTATGCAAGATGTCCATTAGCTAATCCAACCAACCACACTGGTTCATGGAAGAATCTAGCCAGAGCGAACTTGAATTTTTGGATTTTAGGTGAAGAATCTAGCCGGAGCGAACTTGAATTTTTGGATTTTAGTTGAAGAATCTAGTCAGAGCGAACCTGGATTTTTGAATTTTAGGTGAACTCCAAAAATGAAACTTCCATATATATGTAAGAAAATATTATGGGTAAAATAGCAAGTATCTACAAATTTATTTGTTTGCTAGAAATCACAAGAAAAAATTTACATATATAATCATTATAATTATATATTAAAATTTACTTTCATTGATTAAGATATAAAGAAATTATTATAAGAACTTAACTATTATACAAAATATGCTAGTTACAGTTGCCTTCGAAGAAAGAATTTTTCAATACACTCCCTTCTTAGACAAAAGAATTTTTAAACTAATTAATTATTTTTAACTATCTTAGCTAAACTTAATTTTCAAACTACTAATACTATAAAACTTAAATTTATTTGGACATCTTATATTTTACATAAAATTCTATCTAGGCCTGACATGAATGTGGCCTAGAGATGTGTTATTAGGCTTTTACTGAAATAGTTGAGGATCTGAAATGGGTTGGCACAAAGTCTACTATGGTGGGCCGAGATGTCCAAAAACTTGAGAGGGTGTTTCTACATAGAGATAAAGGAAAGGGTTTTTTACTGGCCGGTCTTACCTTTTACACTTATTCCTCTCTTAGTCTTGAGTTTTGCTCTTGTGCACCAGCAGGTTCTCAGCCTTTTTTTTTGTACCGTTTTATCCCTCCCCTGTTTTGGCGCGTTTCTGTTTAGATTTTCCATCAAAATATTGTGTTGTGAGTATGGGTTTGTGATTTGGATTTCTGTGGAACTTCACGATTTGTTACTGTATTATTGTGGAGCTTTGTGATTTCTGATTTCGCGTTTGGTGTGTCTTCGCGATTTATGATTTGCGATTACGTGCTTGGTGAATCTTCCTATTTGCGATTTCGCGTTTGGTGTATAGTTTCATTTTCTGATTTGCGATGTTGTGGAGTTAGGTCGACTGGTATGTTTGATTTTGATTTCAATTTCAATGTTTTGGTTCTTTTTAGTTTGCGTTGGTGATTTTGATTTTGTGGTGATATTGTTGTTACTCTGCTGTTTCTGTTGCGATTGAATTTGTGTTTTGATTATGATATTGAAAGCTTTGAAATATGTATATGTAAAGAATTTTAAATTTTTCTTTTTTTTTTGTTACAAAATTATTTTGATTAAACACAGGTGCTGGTTTGTTATTTTATACAGTGATAATTTCATCACTGAGTATTTTGGGGGTGTTGTTGGATTAACTTTTTCAACAGTGATAAATTTATATGTGAGTATGGGAATAGGAGATGAAAATGTTGCATGATATAATGGTAAGATTCAAATCGAGTTACCATGTCTAATAAGTGTAAGCCTTATTCACTGTTTTTGGTCTTTGGTGGTGTTAACTGTTAAAGTTATTAGTGTTGGTTTTTTGATGTGTTTGAATTGATTAATAATTTTATCACTGTATTTGATTTTGTTTTAGGGGTGTTTGAGTTGTTTGCTGAAATATAATTGTTGTTTGTTGTAGGATTTATAGTAATGGAGAATTTTTTGTTTCTTTTGTGCAAGTTTAGAGAAGTAACATTGGTTATCAAGTATAATGATGAATTTAACTTCAAGGATTTAGTATATAAATTGTGTGCAAAGTGGAGTGAGTTAGTTGGTAGTTCTTTGAATATATCGTATTCAATGCCTGGACATTCTTGTTGGGGTCTACAAAGTGAAGAGGATTTGGAGGTTATGGTTGGACTGGCACTTTCTTGTGATATTCATCGTATTGATGTTTTTGTAAAGTGTTGTTCTTTGGGTGAAGGTTATATGATTTGTGATGGTGAAGCTAATAGTAGTAGTAGTAGTGTTGTTTGTGAAACTGATTTTTTGCCTTCATTTTATTCAAATCAACGGAAACCTTTGCTCTCCGATGGGTGGGTTAATTGTATGAAAGGAGTGGGACAAAGGTTTGCTTAAGGAGTTGTTGAATTTTGAGATGAGTTGTCAAAGTATTCTATTCATTTCGGTTTTGATTTTGATTTTGTTAAGAATGATAAGGATCGTGTCACTGTTCATTGTAAGAGAAGGGCTGATTTGGGATGTTTATGGAGCATGCATGCTAGAGTGGAAAATTATAATAAAGCTTTTGTTATTAAACAATTTGATGATGTTCATACTTGTGGATTTTCTTTTCGTACAATTAAACATGCTAGGATGACTTCAAGTATGATTGGTAGGCTAATTTCAAGTGATATTCGTAATAAGGCTTTGACATCGGTTGGTGAGGTGGTTTGTGATTTCAAGGACTATTATGGAACAGAAGTTTCTATCAGCGAGCTTGGATGGGTGTTGAAAAAGCAAGAGGTCTTATTTTTGGTGACTATTCATCATCATTTGACGACCTTCGTTGGTATGTTGATGCCGCTAATGATTGTAATCCAGGGAGTGTTTTGATATGGAATTTGATGTTGATAGTAAAGGAAGGCATTTCAAATGTTTGTTTTTCGCTTTTGAGGCATGTATTCATGATTTCAAGTATTGTCAACCTGTGTTGATACTTGATGGAATTTTGTTGAAAGGAAAACACAAAGGTTATTTATTAGCTGTTACGGCAAAAGATGGTAACCAAGGTATATTCTGTGTCTATTTTTTATTATTATTAAAACAGTGATAATTCTATCATTTTTGTTACTGGAGATTATTGAGTATGGTCAATCTATTAGTGATAAATTTATGATGTATACTTTTGTTAAATTTTTATATTTATACAGTGATAAATTTATCTATGGCTGGTGCTATATGTTATATACTTTGTGTTTTGATTTTCTTTTTGTAATTTTTTTTATTTGTTATTGATAACGTGAATATATATTTTGTTTGTAGGTTTATATCCGTTATGTTTTGTCATTGTTGATAGTGAAAGTTATGACAGTTGGCATTGGTTCTTGTCAAAGTTATTTGTTATTTTGACTCTGAGGAGGGATATTGTGTTTGTTACTGATCGGCATAGAGGTTTGCTGAAAGCTTTAGCTGAGATCTTTCTGTTTTCTTCTCATTCTTTTTGTCTAATGCATTTGAAGACAAACTTGAAGACTTATTTGTCAGTGAAGAGTCGTGAATCTAAAAAGTATTTGCTTACTCTTTTTAGTAGATGTGCATATGTTCCTACTATTGAGTTGTTTAATGAGCTATTTGAAAATTTTAAGGGTTGTTGTGGTTGTTGCAGTCGTAGTGTTGAGAAGTTTCTTGAGGATTTTCCTAATGGGTGTTAGTATAACGCTTATTTTCAAGGCAAGAGGTATAGTGAAATGTGCACAAATGCTGCGGAATCTTTTAATTCATGGACTAGGGATGAACGCCATTTGTTTTCAACTAGTCTTGTTGATGCTATACGGGTGAAACTAATGGAGCAATTTTCAAGAAGGAGAGAAGTTGGGAATAGTGGAATCATATTATTTGTCCTTTTGCAGAGAAAAAGTTAGAAGAAGCTTTTAATGATACAACAGAATGGATAGTTAAGAAATGTAGCGATGACGTTTATGAAATCCAATTGGATCATTCACTTATGGTTGATATTGGGAAACGTTCTTGTTCTTGTCGATTGTGGGAAATTGATTCTTTCCCTTGCAAACATGGTTTTTGTGCTATAAAGAGGAATGGAAAGGATCTGAATTGTTTTCTTGATGATCACTATCGTGTTAGTAGTTATTGTGATTCTTATTCACATTCTATCTGTGACAACCCTCACCTCTGATTAGTGTTAAACTGTGATTAAGCATGATAAGTAGTTAATTAGAATGAAATCCTAATCTGTTTGCATGAGTGTGTTGCTTTAAATGCATTTCTATCTGTTTGATTACTGAATGATCTGTTCGTGTTTTTATTTTGAATTGCGAATTGAAAGCCTTATCGGCCACCGATTTAGAAATTGATTAGTATTTTATGCTAATTAGGATTTATGTGATTTTATGGTAGGTTTAATTAAAATTCAATTTGGAATGATTAAATTAGAATAAATAAAGTTAAATCACATTAGTTAGAGTTTATTACATTTTTGCCATTGAAGTGGGCCACTTTGTTAAAACTTTGTTTGGAGCTTAATTTACATTTTGACATACCATTCTTCATCCACCTTCAAGACCAAAACGAGAGAGAGAGAGAGTTGGAAGAAAATTTGAGTTCAACAAGAATTTTGTTTGAAAATAAGAGGAATTGAAGAAGATTTGCAAAATTGAGCTAGCATACTTGGAATTCAAGACCTAAGGTAGGAAACTCACCCTCTTGAACTTGAATTTGAGTTGTTTCTTACATGGTTCATGGAAATATTGGAGATTAGAATCAAGTTATAGCCTAAAAAGTTGAATTGAGTAGCAATGTGTGCATACATGTCCATATCATTGAGTTTTGAGATCATTTACAT